TCGGCCGAGTCAAATGTACTGCTGTTTTTATGACATTCTTTCCATGACATGCATCCATTTTGCAATGTTGTATCAGTATTGTAAATACTATGACGTCATCAACCGTTCCCATGGACTTCTTTTGGTGCCCGAAAAAAGGCCCACTCCCGGTGAGGTGATGGGAATCTGAACCAGTATCAATCGTGTACCAGAACCTGAACCATTATAACCCTCGCATGTGTAGGGGGAAAGGGTCCGACGGCCCCCAATGGTTTTTCGCGAATAACTCGCGTAAAAAGCAGCCGATCGCGACAAAACTTTCATATCCTCGCATTGATCAATTTTACACCTACCCTGAAAATTTCATGACCCTGACCCCAATGACCTTTGACCTGTGACCTCTTTACCGAGACCATGTTTGGCTGGAATCGCGATTCGGCGTATGTCGGCTCGCATTAGCCGCGCGTTTGCAAGCTTTTCGTGGTTTCAAACGTTCAAACATGTGATTTGAAGTTGCTCCCATGCATTAGGGTGGGTGTCAAGGTCACATGAAGGTCAGGTCCGGTCATTGACCTTTGATGACCTCGGTTCACTTTTTCGAGTTTTACATGTTTCTAGGCTAGTTTTCGGAGCTGAATTCGAATTTAGCAACCATTTGAACATTTACGAAGTAGTTTTGGTGACTTCGTAACATGTTACGAAGCTGTCAGAGGCGGCTGACACGTACTACGAATACCAGTCACGACGCCTACTGGTTGACCTGACCTGACCTGACCTGACCTGACCTGATCCGACCTGGTCTAAACGCTTAACCTTCCAGGCGGTGGGGGGGGGGGGCATTTTTTTGCCCCCCCTTTACTTTTTTCGATATATCTCGAGAACCGCTGCGCCGATCGTCACCAAACTTTCAGTACCCTCCCGGGAGCAGCTACCGCACATGGTGACCAAAAATTTTTCCAAAGGCTATGATAGGTTGGCCGCTAATGACGTCAGAGTGACGTCATTTTTGCCATTTTCGACCCAAAAAAAGGTTTCGCGGGAAGAGCTCTCAGGCCTACAGCTTTAGAGATACAGAAAAATGTTTTAGACATAAAAGGTGTGGAATCAAAAGGGCTACAAAACTGCTATTTCGGTTTTTTCGAATTTTTTGGATTTTGACCCCCAAAAATCAAAAAATAGATTTTTTTAATATAATAGCCAAAAAATCCAAAAAGTTTTTTGAATTTCGAAAAAACCGGAATATATGTGATAGTCCCTACCGCCTTCTATCTACATACCAAATTTCAGATCGATACCTCGTTTTTTGGCCAAGTTATAGCGAAAAAACTGTTCAAAATTGATGACGTCAAATTTTCAAACTCAATTTTTAGCAATTCTAGACCTCGTAGCGCAAAACAAAGACCACCATTAGACTCCCCGTGACGAGCTGCATCGAATCGATACCCATTTTATGCAAAAATATCAACTTTGAAATTTGACCTTTTTTGACCTGACCTTGACCTGACCTCCACCAGAAAGTGACCTAAACCGTACCTGATGGTCTTATAACCAACACCATTGAGTTGGAAATGAAAAACTGGCCATAAAACATGCATCACATAACCTTAGTAAAGTTGGGCTCATGTGGTGACCCTTGGTGACCTTTGGTGACCTGACCTGTGACCTGACCTGGTATGACCAGTGACCTCTAATAGCAACATATGCACTAGACAACTGACGCCTTATCGCTGATTTTCGACAAAATGCGTTTTACTCGGTGTTATAGCGCTTTCCCTAGAAGCCCTGTGAACGGTGAAACATTTTATCTTTGACCTGACCTGTGACGTCATCGGTGACCCCGACGTCAATGAAATTTGGTTTCCCTTGACAAATTTGACAGGGCTATCGAACGCCGTTTGAATTTTCCGGATCCGTCCAGTAGTTTCGGAGATACGGGGGGGGGGGCAAAAAAGTGCCCCCCCCCCACCGCGTGGAAGGTGGCTGGTAGGCCCACCGCCTGCCGGGTTAACGACATCATCTGTGATCAAAACTAACACGATATTTGTGATCAGCACCCCGGAAAACCCCTTAGCAGCCACACTTTACGACTTTCTAATGGGTCCCGATTTTCCCGACTTTGGGTCATTGACCTGACCTGGAAGGTCAACCAATGACCTAGGACCTTAAAATTGGGTATCATCGGCTTCCCCTCGTCACGAGCAGCACGCTCGTTTTTTTTTCCGCGAAGCTCTAGCTCGATCAGGGGCCAAACAGCAAGGGGGGGGTCCAACCGACCCCCCCCTTACACATTAGAAGCTGGCAAACGACGCACACATGCGAGGGATAATAATACCGTTGGATGCGGATATTACTGGATCAAATCAGCAGATCTGTGAAAGAGACTGTGGAGATGTGGTATGTGGAGATTTAGGGGGTTTTGTTTCACTGGGGTGGGCGAAGAGAGAATACATACAGGTAAAGAGGAGATGTGACTTTGTGGGAAAGGGGAGAGAGGAAGAGAGGAAAGAGAGAGAGAGAGAGA